GATGGTGTTATTGGTATTTTGTCAGAGAACTTCTTTTCTAGAGACTGTTGTACACTATCTATCATTGAAAAAACAAGGCGAATAAGTCTGGCTATTGATAAAAATGTGAAGTGAAAGAGTTAGACATTAATTTCTCTCTACTGATCACACCGGAATGAACAATGGTGAGCAGAAAATTACAACAGCCAAAATATGACCTGATAAAGTTTAGAGCACCTAGCTTTTTAAACGCAAATATGAAACTATCATGCATATATTTCCAGATTTCAACAAGAATATTCCATTTCAAATCTAATTAGCTTAGGCGTTTCACGAATTAAAACATGTTTCTTCGGTGTTACTTTATGACCCTTCTGTTTCTTGATTTAATATTGTTTATTTTTCTCGATTTTCGGTATTACTGTGGAATGCAGTAACTTAAACTAATGATTTCGTGTGTAACAATTGTTTTTCTGGATAGTTCTTGATGAGCGAATAGGCACTAAATGGTCACCAACCAAATAAATGAAAGATTTAAACTGTTGTTAACATATGGGGTTTTATCTTAGATTACAATCAGTATGAAAAATTCGACTTTTTCTATAAATTAGATAAAGCCTTAGTCAGTGTGCATATCACCAGTTAGCTTATAATTAAAACCTATCGTCGAATCCTACTTCCTGTTCGTCAGTGTGCTTAATCTAGATACATCACTGGTATGCTATGTTGTTGCTGAATGAACAGTTGTACTATTTCTCAATACGTTGAGGGTAACTTCCTAGTCCCACCCTGGGAGAGCACTATCGACCAGTAACTCGCAGCGATTCTTGCTAAATGCTTGACCGATAAATTTAAAAATCAGCACCGACAGTCTTGAAAAACATGACACCAGTCACAATTCAGTAATCGTAAGCTGAAAATATCATTTTTCATGTGGAACATGTGAACTTATGAAGACTTTACTTACGCTGTACCTCCCTAACAGGAGGAAAACATAGATATGGATAAATTAGAGTTTGTAAATAAAGTTATGTCCCATAGTGAACAACCGCATCTGTAGACTAGCTTCAAATGAGGCATTTAGGAGATCTACAAGACATTGAGGCGAATACCCTTACACAGAACAATTTTAGCATATACTAAATAGAAAATATCAAAAGGACAGTTGAGCCAGCTACATACTTTCCTTTCGACTTAATCATAGCATGACTTAACTAGAAAAAACATTATCTACATCCCAAATAAAAACTGGTAAAATAACTTTATAGAATTCCAAACGATTCAAACAACTCTCAACCAACACCAAAGTCAGGATTTTCAATGCAAGCATCAAGACAGTCCTATTGTGTGGAGCTGAAACTTCGCGAACTAGGAAGACCATCACTCAAAAGACACAAGCATTTATAAACAGTTGTCTACGCAAGACTCTTCAGATCCGTTGGCCAGATACCATGGCAACAACCCACTATGGCAGAGAACAGACAAGTAAAAGATGCTGGAAGTGGATAGGACACACGTTGCGGAAACCACCCAAATGAGTCACAGCCAAGCCCCAACTTGGGACCCTCAGAGTCAAATGAGAAGAGGTAGACCAAGAAATACACTGCGACGAGAATTGGAGGCATGAGTCAAAAATGTGTTTTGCTAGGGAACAACTACAAAAGGGAGCTCATGACGAAGTTGGTTGATGAATCCTGGTCGGTGGTTTATGCTTTACGAGAGCTAAAAGATTTAAGTCCGGAGGTAATATCTTATGACTATACATAAAGGTGATTTCAATTGTTGATTAGTATACATCACATTCTCATTAAATTCTTTATTTTAATTAGGTCATTAATGTACTGAGGTCATGATAGCTAGACAAAAAGTTCGTTGGTCAAGTAGACATCTAGACAATAGATGAGTCATCTCAAGATAGATTATGGAAGTAATCACGAAGATTACACACAAGTTCCAGACAGTTTAATCGATTCTGTCTCTACCTAAACAAATGAATTTTTATTTTTTAACAGACAAGTCTAACATCTGTATTTAATATTTTTATTACATTGTTCAATGTCTTCTGATTTCGTATAGTAATCAATATGATACTACTTTTTATGGAAATCATCTTCAGATTAATTTGTAATCCTCAATATCCCTCTTGATATATTTTAGTGTTGCATTAATTAATTCATAATTTAGATAACGTCTTCTTTTTATGGGAAAAAGGCTTTTTTACTCTAATTTGAAACGGAGAAAATATTTGATAAGCTGATATTTCTGAACCACTTTGCAAATAAAAAATTCGGAGGAAAATCTTTGTTTCAGTAGAATTTAAATCGTAATTTTTTAAGTTACCACTCAAGTGATTCAATCAAATTTCATTAACCTTGATAAAACAATGAGAAGACGTAGTTGGTCTGAAAACTGCGATGTATTTGCGTCATACATTTCGAACAATCTGGTCACACATATTCTTGTCAAGGCATTTAATATGAAAATTAATGAGGGTCAGTTAAACGCGCCATAGATTGGACATCAGTATAGCTTTTAAATCATTGTATAGAAATGTTCAAGGACTGTTATAACCTCTAATTTATAGCGGTACTCTTCAAGCCCTTTTATAGCCAAGTGTAATTCTTATTCATCATTACTATGTTAATTTTCTTTTACCTTTATTCACACTTATCACCTTACGTTTATTCGAAACTCCATTTGATCGACCTTTATTAATTTTCATGTAAAATACCTTGACAAGAATATGTGTGACCAGACTGTTCGAATATTATAATGCAAATACATCACAGCTTTCAGATCACCTACATCTGATAGTTCTATCAAAATTTGTACAATTCGCCAAAAATGTTGTCTAACCGTAATGCACGAGTAATTCTGTCTTAAATAAGCTCTGAGTATGATATTAAGAGCCGGTATAACCAAAAATAAGTACGTAAACACATTAATACTGTCAATAGTTTAGACATACTGTCTACAGTATGTATCCCTATTTAAATATTGTAACTTTGTAAGCCGACATATTTTTTATGGTTAATAGTAATTTGTGTTGCTAGCAAAAATCTTCGCAGCTTTATTTTCATGTTACATACCTAAAAGCAAACCAATAAATTTTAGGTACGAAAATTATTGACTTTTAGCAGATTATGACGTAAAAAGACCATCTAATGTAAAATACACTTTAAAATTTCTTAAGTTAGCGATTATCTTTCACGATGAAATAACTTACTTAGCAACTGATAGTTGGAGTCTCGTTCGTACTTAAAGGTCAGTCGGCCGTAGCTCACATGGTTAAGATTTTTAAGCCACTCAAAATACGAGACAGTAACACCACCAGCATTCAGATACAAATCTGGAATAACCAGCTTATTTTTCTCTCGTAATATCTGTAGAAGAATATTTTTTAAAAAAAGTTAAACGCATATAATTACGATTGAACTGAATTCAAATCTATGATATAACATGCCTCTCACCAAGAAAATGGGCAACTGACAGAGGAAGTATACAATAGATTTAGTGAATGGAGTAAACTAACTAACCAAACTGTGATTTGTGGAATACAGAATACCTAGTTTATAAAACTGAACAAGGAAGCATGATCCCATGAAACATGAAAATTCATAATAGACACAACTTAGTAAGCTAATTGCCATATAATTCATTCAGTGTCTAAATAAAAGCTTGTTAATGAAACAATAGATAAGGTCGCAAAAAACTAACTTTGTCAGCTTTTGGTGTGGTAGGACCATTGGCACCTTCACCGATTAATTTCGCTCGAATTTTATCTGCGTTGCCACTATGGATTTGTTTTTCATTTGCCGCTGGAATGAGAATATCACACTCTTCAAAAAGAAGAGAACCTTTTGTATATGGTTTTGCACGTGGAAAACCAACAATCGTACCATTTGCCTATTTTCAAAGAATAAATCAAGGGTTTTGAATAAGACAAATACAGCAAAAGTTCCAAATATTGAAAATTAATACTGTATTGCCAGGTTTATTCGAAACGGGAATAAGAACAAACCATTTACATTATTTCTTAAACAATGTTCGATGTTTTAAAATACAGTAGTGACTTTTGAATTTAAAGAGTGTAGGCAAAGTGTGGATGGAAGACAAAATCTGATATCTAACCCACTTTTAATTAAATGAAAAAGGTAGTTCACTGTTTTCCCGGCCTAAGAATTTCTTCGAATACCCTGAAGCAACCTTGATTGATGGTACTGAGACAAAAATATATCCAGGATATTTCTAGTTACACGTAGAATATACGCCGATTAGAACATAAAAAATGGCAGTGGATAATTTTATATAAACATACAGTAAAATAAAACGACAGGACGGTACTTACAGATTTTCGGTAAAGACAATTGATGCGATAGTAACTAGTGATAAATCAACATGCCAAACAAGTCAAACAAATGTAGAGTTTTTCAGATGTACAACCCCGTTCTAGATTACATTTCGGAGCTTTTAATTTACAGACATTGTATCAAGTAGGACAACAGACTTCCTTAGCTACCACTTTAGAATCTCGCGCCATCGGTGTGTGCTGCGTCTCTGAAACGCCCATACAGGATCCAAGTAGAATCATTAATTTGATTTCACCTTGTCAAAAGAAGCTGCCCGATTTGTTCTTCGTGTATCTGAAAGCCGTGATGCTGCTGCCCAGAGTCTCGCTGGCGGACGTGTATCATTGAATCCTATGGCAGAACTATCTCTCCTAGACTGGATCACAGTGAATAGTCGATTGTGGGCTGTCCGACTGAACGAGAGAGTAAGGACTCGGAAAGACAGGGTTAGTTGCCGTTGTCTTTTCGTCCTATCTGCCTACGCTCCTACTAGCTGCAGCTCAGACGAGGTGAAAGATGTTTTAAAGAAAGCTTTCGGACCTCCTCCGAAAAGTAAGTTACTCTGATAAAGCAATAATGGCTGGTAACTTCAATGCTCAAGTAGGTAGACTCAGTGAAAAGGAAAGATACCTGAGTGAATCTTATTGTGTCGCGGCTGACCGAACAGATAATGGCGACCGTCTATTGCAAGTGTTCTCAAATAAGCACCTACTTCTAGCAAACACTAAATTTAAGCATAAGGAAAAACATCTTGTGACCCGCAAAGTTGTCTCGATGATGCACCCAACTAGATCACATCGCCATCAGCCACCGATGAAGGGGTTCAATAGAGGACTGTTTCTCGTTCTAGGGCATATATTTAGACTCATACCATGTTCTAGTGCGAACCGCGTATTTATTTGCGTCTCACTGGGCGTAGGAAAAATATCGCAAGGAAACCTGTTAGGGCTCTACTTAATGATAATAAAGCTAAGGATATATTTCAGGAACAACTAGGAAGACAGTTAGGCAGCCATGTAGTAAGTGATACCCATCCTGAGGAAGCTTGGAATGATATCATAAGGCTGTGGAAACAGCAGTGATATCTACCAGTAAGAAAAACCATAAGGCTAGGAAAAAGCCGTGGATCTCAGTAGCATTTACCGAACTGACAGACACCAGGCGCAGGCTGATAAAAAACCTAAGCGATGATCGCAAACAGTGGCGGGTAGCGAAAGCCAGAGCGGTGGAAAAGACAGTGGCGATAGACAACAGAAGACAGTTGTTTCCACATATCAAGGAAACTGGGATTAGGAATCCGACTGTAAGTGAGATTATCTCGAAAAAGAGTCAGACTATTATTCATTCTCAATCCAGGAGATTGGATCGATAGGCAGAACATTAAGGGGAACAGGTCATCTGACCTTCAGCAACACTTTAGTTACCCACGATCTCCAGTCATCCTGAATGGCAAGTCGATATAATTCATCCGAGTCTTTATGTATTTGAAAAAGCTAAAGGAAATCCAGAGCGAGGGAGAGCAGCATGAACTGATAAATGTACCCCTAATATATTTAAGGATGGTGGTTCAGTTTTAGCAGTTTGATTGACTGAGATTTTCGGCAGAATCTGGGAACTGAGCGTAATCCCATCTGAGTTGTCTCAATCCCTCATTGTTCCAGTCTACAAGAAAATACAAAAGTCCTCTCGTGACAATCACAGGGGAATAAGTCTAACTAATATAGTATCGGAAATATTGGCTTCAATAATATTCCGACGTTAAACGAAAGCTCGTGTAAGGCAGACTCCAGAAAACCGGGTTGGTTTCAGACCTGGACGTGGCTGTATAGACCACATTTGCACACTACGACAGGTCCTGGAACATCGACACACATTTAGGTGTCCGACAATAGTTGTCTTCCTGGACCTAAAATTCGCGAAGTATAATCAATCTATGTTTCTTCTGATACGATAATCGCTCTTTCTGTAGTCCAAATCATCAATGGGAAAAATTAGTAATTATGATTACAATTATATTCATGTTGCAAGTAGCTGATTAGCCTCTGCAAAATATAAGGAATTGAGGTGATCAACCACGGTGGTGGTTTGAGAAACCATAGATTTAGAATGTTGCTCTTGATCAAGTGTTTGATGAGTGAGTGAATTATATTCTTTGAGTTGAATAAATTATGGACACGGACGGATTAGCCACACATTGCAACTCTAAATAGCTAAGTTTATCTTATGAAGTGAACTTGCGAAATACAGGTAGTTATAACCTATGGACGCAAACAACTTTTTTTGAATGGTCATCGAGACTGAAATATATTACATGCGATACATGCTGGGTTGGCATGATTAAGTAGTCTTGCAAGTTTTGCTATTCGTTTTTCAAACCGATACTAGTAAACGAAATAGCATGGGTGAAATGCTTCCTATGATAGTGAACATGAATAAACTTTAAAATGAAAATTGAGATTTTCGATAAATAAGTCTCATGTTTTAAATTATAAAACTAATGATCAATTAAAATCGTTTCAAGCTAAGCTTTTAAAAGTACAGTTAGCTTAAGGAAGTGAATTTAGTCAAAACACAAAAGTTTCAGTACAACAGAGTAATGGAAAACGAGACAACGGTACTTACAATTTGCCAGTCTTCGAGTTCACGTGGGTCTATACCATCTGCGTTGTAGATCTGTCCATCGATTTCAGCAACACCAATACATTTTGCGCCAGCTCGTACAAGATAGCGCATTGTATGCAACCCAACATTACCGAATCCTTGGACAATGAAAGTTTTATCCTTCAACCCTGGAGACAAGCCAATAGCATCAGCGTATTGCGGGTTATTTAGGAAGTTTTCAATCCCATGGTAAACCCCCTGAAAGGTTGCCAAGGAACAAATGCATGAGCTAACTATAAAACATTGGAGAAGGTTCCTGACCAACAGAACGATTTGGTCTCTGATATTGCAATGTAGAACAAAAAAGAGTGCAAATCAATGATACAATAAGAATTATTTACATGAATTTCTCGATTAAAAGATGATACTTGTGTGACCTCAGTACGGTTAACAAGTGGAAGTGATAATATGACCATAAAGACTTACGCGTCCTGTGGCGGAAATACGACCGTGAATTCCACCCATAGCGATAGATTTTCCCGTAACACAAGCATGACCATGCATATCGTTGTGCCCTAAAAAAAAAATCACCGAAGTCTCAAAACCAATAACTATAGTGTTTATGACATGAAAAGAACATAAAGATAAGATTCATCCAAACACACTTATAGGTACTTCTCAATCAAGTACAGAACCCTAGTGGGCAGTATATTTGAACTTACCTACAGTGTTTGCATAAGTATCTGCAATCCAACTCATCTCCCGGGGTCCAGTACCCATATCTGGAGCAGGAACATCAGTTCCAGGACCTGAAAATCTACATGATTTAACACAAACTAACCAAGAAATCCTTGCTTCGCCAACTCAAGAGCAAACCGACGAGTTATCCTTTCCAATTCTGCCGGAGAGTGATCTTTGGGATTTATTTTTATTCCTCCCTTGGCACCGCCAAACGGGACATCCACAACGGCACATTTATAGGTCATCAGAGCAGCAAGAGCCATAACTTCTTCTCTGCACACGTCCATGCTATACCGAATACCACCTTTAGTAGGTCTTCTGTGCACACTATGTTGAGCTCTGAAGCCTTGAATAATTTTGAATGTTCCATCGTCAGCTTTGTGGGGAAAATTGACCTCAAAAATGTGGGTAGGTGGTCGTATAATGCTAAGCGTTCCCTTGACAATCTTGGCCTTTTCGTTATCTGACGCTTTTGATTGGAGTTTTGACATTAAATTTTGTTCGACAAGAGCAGATGCTTTATCATAATAACCTTCAACCATGAGATGAAAAGGTACATCATCTTCTTCAGTGCTATAAGGACGGTTTATGATATTCATACAGCGTAAAACTGATTTTCGACAGTGAACTTTAGGCGTACGTATGAGATTGTTGAAAAACAGCCCCACCAACATTTTTAAACGAAAATGTTTCTTCAAAGTTGCAGAAACTTAATCAACAAAAGACGAGTACGATCTGGAAGGAAAATTATATGGTTTACCAAAATTGAGATAGGAGACCAGTGACAAAATACAATTAATTTCAAAAGTACTCAATGTGACAGTTATGCAGTGAGTATTTTTTGATTGTTCAAAATTGAACTAAGCATAAAATATGAGGAAATGAATTAAAAACTCAAGCAACAAGTTAACTAACTACACAATCAGTTAATTAAGGCTCTTACGACGATATCAGCTTAAACAGCCAACTAGTCAAGTGGGAGCAACGTCACAGACCTTGAAATTCCTGTGTCCAATTATTTTTCACGAGCTAGGAAAAACAAATGGATTTCTTGGCGCCTAATTCCTGTTCTGAGGTATTCATTTATGCCCATTGGATGGTAGCCTAGCCACTTATTCGCACTAACCCAGGCGTTTGGCAGGTACATGTTGGTATCCTTGTAGGCCCCCTCACAGCTGTTAAAATATCCGGACTACCTGAGTATAGAATCCATTTTGGAGGGTTTGTTTTGGGAAAATCCCTCCATGTACATAGTTGTGATATGTTCTTACTGACTCTTTCTGTGTTACTTTTTGGTACTCTGTTTAATCCCGTTTCGTGATGTTATTATATGCATTTTGATATAGTTTCTAATTTTTCTAAATTTATTGGAGGTTCTATGTTTTCTACTTAACTGTATTATGTTTTTTACATTATTAATTAATTAAGGCATCAGCCATATCAAATTTGGTAGCCTGATGGGTGAAGCTTGTATCCGAACTGCAAGGGTGTACTTTTGGAACTAAACGGAATCATTCTTCCAGTATTGGAAACACATTGTGTTAATTTTGAGGTAGAACAGTGTAATATTGTTTAGGTAATTATTTTTATTATCTGACTAACAACAGAACCGTTTCTTATCCGGATAATTTGCTTTCTACCTGGAATATCTAGGAAAGGCGCGTATCTAATCTTCTAGAAATGTTCTTTCGAATTCAGAAACCACTCAAAAACCTTTCACTGAGCAAGTATGCAACGCTACTAGATGGAGTGAGGATGGATTATTTGTTGACATATGATCAGCTCCTGGTAGAGGATTTTCACGTCCATACACCAATAAGAAGTAGTGATTATAGCACAGTCTTGTTCAATAAGGTCAAAAACGAAACACTCATACAGGACGAAAACGAGCACCACGTTTGCTACACTAGGGAAAATTACATTCGCCTGACAGTGCATCTTGCACATACCCCATAGCCACCTGAATGGCGGAGTCTGACAGTAGATGACAACTGGCGAATAGTGAGAGACACCATCCACAATGGTTTCAGACCTGGACGTGGCTGTATAGACCACATTTGCAGACTATGACAGGTCCTGAAACATCGACACACATTTAGGTGTCCGAAAATAGTTGTCTTCCTCGACCTAAGGGTGGCATTCGAATCCGTTGATCTTGAGGTCTTGTAGCAGTGCTTACCATTGAAAAGTGTACCAAAGAAGCAAATGAACCTAATAAAAGCTCTCTACTTGAACACTCGTAGTGTTCTACTTTTATGAAGAACACACAATTGCTGAAATATAAACATTCATTATTGTCCTTACTTCTATCAATAATTGTTATCTTGTACACCTTTTGTTTATCTGCACGAAAGACTATCTCTCAAGCGCCAAGTGTGTTATTCTCATTCTTTTCTTCGCGCGTCTCCTGCCCGGACGTTAGCCGTTTGTACGCCCTGTGGCCTCGATATTATTTCGATATCAAGGGGCTAGCATTAAATATACTTCTTCCTCTAGAATCGTATTTTATCTGGTTACTGGAGTAACGGGATTAACATTTGTTATCCTGCGAAGAAGTATTATTCTTCGATTTGCTATACACTAATCATTGATTGAGAGCCTATGGTGACCTGTTAACGGAATTGAATACCTCAAGTGGTGTTCGTCAGGGCTATCCATTTACCATACTTATTTAACTTTGCCATTGACATGCCCTCAGACACGACATTTTAATCGCCTGATGTTTCAGGAGTTGAACTTTTACCGAGAGATTCATTAATTGACCTAGAATATACCGATGACATAGTTCTATCTGGTGCGGACGCTGACAAAATGCAGAAACTCCTGGCTTTTCTGAGCAACAATGCAAGCAAGTTTGGGATGTGGTTTTCCCCCTCGAAAAGCAAAATCTTGCTTCAAGGTTGGGTTCCATCGGTTCTTCAACTAGCGATAGGAGGTTAAGCAGTTGATCGCTTCACTTATATTGGTATGTTCCTCACTGCTAATAGCCTGGTGACTGACGAAATCTCAGCAAGGATGCAGAAGTCTCGGTTGGCATTTGTCAACTTGCGTCCTTGATGTCGTAGGCGAGGTATCCGTTTGCTGACTATGGGACGAGTGTACTGAGTAGCAGTTCATTTGTAGAAATGCAACCAGTTGGTTGGAGAAAACTGGTTGGTTGCCTTTAATGCATTAGGGGTAACAGGCGTAAGTAAGCAAGTAATCCCTTGCCTTGCCGATTCGATAACATCTGCATCAGATCCATCTTGCTGGTCAATGATGCAGCCCAAATATGTAAAGAGTTTTACGTCCTCCAAGGCATCTCCAGCAAGAGTGATTTGGTTGGCGCATGTTGTGTTGTGTAGAAGAATCTCGCTTCAAACTTTATCCATTTGGAGATGGGGGATGGTAATACCTATATAGGTACGTGTTTATCAAGTCTATTCTTGAAGCCGTCCGCTGGGTGGGCAGCGGTCACCTCTCTCTGGAAGGCATTCTAAGTTGCAACGACTGTTGATGGGAAAAAGTGTGCACGAACCTGCATTTTCTGTTTTTAAAAAGCAATTTCTCAAGGATTGTCTCGATGGGAGTGGTGGTGATGCATCGGTAAGATGCTCACGTTGGGATGGTTCGGCGTGCTTGATATGTTGTACGCTGTAATCAGGTCACCTCTGATTCTCCTGTAACTAGGGGGAATAAACCCGAAGACTTGAGTCCATCTTCTTAAGTTTTATGCTTTAACTCTATCACCCATTTCGGTTCAGTTTTAAATCGTTTTTCCCTGCTGATTCCTCAATGGATGTAAGGTCCTTTTGAAACTCAACCGAATCCTCTTCGCTTTCAATAGACCTCCAGATCTTCACATCGTATGCGTAGATCAGTGCCGGCGAGCTAACTGTGGCTAACAGGTAGTTAATTAATAACAGGAAGAGGAATGGACCTGAGATGGTCCCCTGTGAAACCCCCTGATGTTGAGACTCGCCAACTGGCGTGATTTCTACTTGCATTGGTACAAAACTTTCTACTCTCAAAGTAGTTTCTGAGCCTAGACGGTAGTGGGTTAGTGAAGCCTGTTCCCACAACCTTCGCTATTAGGCGCGCGTGGGGTACTATGTCGGAGGCACTTGCAAAGTCAAGATATAGTATGTGCACAGGTGTTTTTTGGTCCCAGCATGTTTTCCAGCTGTCCCGTGCTATGAGAATGTTTTACGCTCATGACCAGCATTTTTGAAACTGACGCTGAGCTTCATGGAGGATTTTGTGCCTATCTATATACTCCCTCATTTGTCTGTTCACGAGCCCTTCCGTAACCTTTGATAGTATTAGTAGTAATGCAACTGGTCTGTAACATTCTAAGTCCTTCCTATCTCTTCCCTTGAAGAATGAAGAGGGAGTAGATTGTTCCGATTCAGCTGGGAGTTGGTGTGTGCATGTGAATTCCTTAACAGGTCACATATCGGTGAACAGAGGACTTCTGCACGTTGTTTCAAGACGATGGGACGAATACTGTTACAACCTGATGACCTACCTGGGCGTAAAGATTTTAGTTTCCTTAGTGCTAAGTCAGGAGTGATAGAGATATTCCCCAGGCTGTCAGCCGGCGCTGGGTTTGTGTAGCACTCTGAACATGTGGATGCCTGGTTTAACTGATCAGAATCCTTCCAGGAAACCTACCATTTGTGCCAGGCTCTCCTCTTCGTCTGTAGCAAGCGTTCATTGCTGCGCCTGACACATGTTCTTCTATTTCCGGGCGTGAGGTGTGACTGGGGTACACTATATAGGACAGCACTGTGGATGGTGTCTCTCACTATTCGCCAGTTGTCATCTACTGTCAGACTCCGCCATTCAGGTGGCTATGGGGTATGTGCAAGATGCACTGTCAGGCGAATGTAATTTTCCCTAGTGTAGCAAACGTGGTGCTCGTTTTCGTCCTGTATGAGTGTTTCGTTTTTGACCTTATTGAACAAGACTGTGCTATAATCACTACTTCCTATTGGTGTATGGACGTGAAAATCCTCTACCAGGAGCTGATCATATGTCAACAAATAATCCATCCTCACTCCATCTAGTAGCGTTGCATACTTGCTCAGTGTAAGGTTTTTGAGTGGTTTCTGAATTCGAAAGAACATTTCTAGAAGATTAGATACGCGCCTTTCCTAGATATTCCAGGTAGAAAGCAAATTATCCGAATAAGAAACGGTTTTGTTGTTAGTCAGATAATAAAAATAATTACCAGCTTTCAATGGACTTTCATTAATTTTTACTCAAATTGTGGGAACGGTTATCGTCTTCGAGAATCTTTGTTTTCTTCATGAGGCGTACTAACTCTTTAAAATAAAGATCTTATCTCAGGATAGAGCTTGAATTGCTCGAATAATTTATTCTGATCAGCGTATATCTAGAAAGCTCCTTTTCTACTCTCTATTTATCTCAGCAATCAACAAATCACGAAATTGTATTTTCAGCTGGTCCTTAAAAGTGAATATATTTGCTGGTGATTTCGTGGTGTCAAGAGAACACCGAAATTACACCAGGAAAGTCGGCGAAATAAACAGCAGATTCATTAAAGTATGGTAGCAATACAAACAGAAAGTTGCGCTCTAAAAAGTGTTGTAAACAAAACGTACAGTAGAATTAGTTATAATAATGAATGTTTATATATCACCAGTCGTGCTCTCTTCATAAAACCTTCCCA